CCAATATTTCTGGCATGGGGAGGTGTACAAAACCAAACAGTTGAGACAGTAGATGGACAAATTAATCAAACCCTAAACCACCATAGCAGACCACCACCCCCGCACCCCCGATTTCAATGTTGTCTCAGTGAAAAGATGTTTTGTTGTCAGGGGTTTGATTTGATTCGTCCACTCAAGCCAACCTCCTTCACCAACAGGCCAACATTGAACTATGGGGGGTAGGGGGGTGAAGTCTGCAAGGGTTTGAATAATTCGTCCACCTACGGTAGTAGCGATGCCGGGAGCCCCTAGTAGCTTCTTGTTCCTAGTAGTAAGGCCAGGAGCCCCTAGTAGCGTCCTTGCTCCTAATAGCGATGGCCTCCAACCTACATGCTTGATCAAGTTTGTTGCTTGAACTCTGCAGCGTGCCAAGGCAGGCTACCAGGGCGGCTACTTAGATGTCGATGAACAAACTCTGGAATGGAGCCGCTTGGCCCTGTTGGAAACGAACAAAGATATTTTCGATATATATACTCAGTGATGCACTTTGTGAAGGTCTCCTGCACTTTGTGAAGGTTTTGTGCTGCTTCAAGGGAGACCAGCTCGAAGGTTTTTGTTTCTCTCACCAAGTTCATTATCTCAGGTTCACAACGCAGTGACCTCAACAACAGGGTCATCGAGCAGCCACTTGGGCAAGACATCAAGTCGTTACGCCTTGTTTTTGAGTTGCTGCATGTAGTCAGAAGTCAAGGAATTTAATGTTCAGCTGATTAAGTATCCAACTTTTGCACACTTCAACTTTGGACTATTACCAAGGGTCATCGATCACATTGGCAATGGTGGGAAGACAATGGTCGCTGTTCGACCTCCTTCTTCCAGCAGCAAAGAGTATCGGTTGCTTGGAATCTTGGATTGCCATTCAAACATTTTTACAGTAGAACATTTTTCCATCAAAAAGAACTGACAACACTAGTGTAACAATAACTGGGCCCGTATCTTCACACATGCTCACGAAGTTGGTTGACAAGGAGCTGGATGATGTTTGTCACCGCCACCCCGCACCTGACCATCCTTCGACGCATCGCCTTACGAACGGGAGAGACTTCCGTGTTGAGCATTTCGAAGAGACACGAAGTGTTCGGCACGTGACACTCTGAGGACAAGTCACCAAGGTGGACCAGATCAAGCTGGCCCAGTGCCTCTGTGAAGCCGGGCAAGAGCTCATTTTCGAGGACGGTGGGCATACTGCAATATTGGGTGTTTGGATGAGATCATTGGAAAGCTGAAGAGACTAAAGAATCCGCCAGTCTTTGTAGCGAAGATGTTTGACGAATGCCTCGCCGCCCCGGAGAGCCAGGCCAACCAACGGCGGTTTCATGTGGCTCCTTGGCTGGAATCCGGAAGAGTTTCACTTCTTCCGCTTGCATGCTCCTTGTTCTGATTGGGTTTCCAAGGCCCTGCAAGCCAACTGCTTGCGAGATAGCAAATTGCATGATAGCAAAGAATGGCACTCATGCGAAGGCCAGCCGCCACCTTTGTCATTTCTTAGATGCAACTGAGAGTGTGAAAAGGAAGGTGTAGGATTCCTGCAAGATGCATGGCTTGCAACTTCGGGCCAAGCAAGAAATCAGTTTTCATGTCATTCACCTGTGGCAAGTCGCTTCTGGCTACTTTTTGCTTTAAATTCGTGCGAGCAGGAGCAGGGCTACAGTTAAAGCGCTACAATGAAGATGAAGAGGGCACATCCCTCTGTAAGCATTGCTGTTTCAGGAGCCCACCAATGTGAGGGATGTGGCAGGTCTTGGTTTTTGGGGCAAACCGGAGGTTGCACCCAAAGGGAAATTGCCGTGCACAGAGTTCAACAGTTGAAGTTCGACTTGATTGAAATTTTACAAGAAGACGGCTGAATAATCATTGAGCACAGCACCCCAAGCGCATCAACTTTGCAATCTTTGTGAGCCAAATGAACCAACTCTTCTTTAGCGGACCGAAACAATTCATCCGTGCCCTCGAACGAGTGGCTTCTGAGGGCTTGAGTTGAATTGGGTTTGTAATGTCCCAGTACAACATAGTACAACTGCAGAATTCTATATAACCAGGTTCCCGAGAGTTTAACGCATCCACACCATTTGGAGTTCCTTTTCTCGTGAACGTGTCGATCCTCAAGTTGAAGCCATTCATTGCAGGACCCCTACGGCGCTACTCCACTTTGAGGACTTAGAGCCTGCTGGAGTGGCTTGGCTGCGAGGGTCGATATTATGTTAAAAGTGCTTTCTTGAAAAGTGGGGATGCTTGAAGTGAAGCCAGTTCAAGTCACATGGAATCTTCTCACATTGCCAGTTGCCAGAGCCCATTTGACCAGGTTTGATCGTAGGTCCTAGATGGTGAGCTTCTGGGGACTTTGGGTAAAGGATCCATGAATTGGGACGGGATTTGCTGCCATTGGAACACAAAGTGCATATGTGTGGCCGTTCAGGATTCAATGAGATTTACGAACTCTTGTGAACAGCATGAGACTTGGTTGACCCACAAGGCAGTCTCAGGTAATGACAAATGCTGGGGAGCAAGCCAGCTGTCGAACATCACATCAGATTCTCAGCGAATCTCCTTGTCGCCATGGGCCGCAAGGCTCCAAGGATTCGAGTGAGCCATGAGGTGGAGAGAGCGTTGCTGCCGGCCGGGAAGCGTTGCGCGCCCATGGGAACGCTACACCTTCCTGGGACGCTGCAGAGGTGCCAGTCAGCCCCCAACATGATCATGACCTCTCCCATCGGCTGGGCGGCGGATACACTTCGGAGCACGGAATCCAAAAGCCGCGAGTTCAGAGACCATAGATATCAATCTGCTCAGTTGGCCCACTCGATGACCACTGGCGCCTGGGGTGACTTGACCTCGACTTTGCGGCCAGGCACTTCTGCTCCAATGGGACCGACGGGAGGTGGTCAAACTCATGGCGCATGGGACCGGCGCCCCTCCTCCATGGGGAGTTTGGGCAGATACCAAGCTGACAAGCATGGCTGGTACCATCCTTTAGGACAAGCAGAGACGAAGCGCTTGATGGACATGGATGAGGAGGGGTCATACGTTTGGGTCATGCAGAAGTCCAAGAATCACACAGGTTATGGGCCAGATGGCAGGGTGAACAGAGATGACGTCCAGATTACGGCCGTCTCAGGGACTGGTCCTGACTGGTTGGTTGGGACAAGAACCGTTCCAGGGCCATTCACCACAAAGAAAGTACCAGTTCGGAGATGTCCCATGGCACGCATTGAAGGTGATGAAGTGAAGGTCCGTGGGAAGACCTACCAACAGGGAGAAGCTTTGTCGATCATTGAAACACTCCATAAGACAGCCATCCCTCCGCCCCATACAAAGGTCCCCAGACCTGAGCTCCCGGCAAGGAAGGCCGAGCAAAACAAAGCCACATGGAACAACTTGATTCATGGTGGCTGCCAAACAAGACCCGTTTTCCAGAACAATGTCTACCCTCCCAGCAAGCACATCACCTATGAGACGCATGACATGCGGGGCAACCCTGCCAACAAGACCTTGCGACGCAAGACGCATGGCATCACATATGGTTGCTGAGCCTTGGGATTGCTTCTGACAGCAGCGTTTTCTCAGTAGATCGAGTCATTCTCCATTCGCACAGATGCCAAAGGCATAGCGCAACAATGGCTGTTTATGGTGCCTTGCACAGAGTGTTTGACATTCCACATTTGAGTGTTTAAACCATGGAGATTATATATAGTAAGTGTAAGTATAACGCACTTCATCAAAGAAGCGTATGTCAGGAGGTCAGACACTCAGATTTTCACCAGTAGCAGGCTGCAGGCATTCTTTCGTTGAGTGAGATTCATGGAGGCAACATTGCGCCCCTGTTTTGGAGCACAGCACACCTTTCCCATTGCCATACTGCCATACGCCGCCAGGAATTGCATGGTGTTTGGAGGTCTTGGGACCCTTTGGCACCCAGGACATGACGAATCTCACTCCTCCGGTTCGGCCGGTCCGGCAGGTTGGTAGGACCTGGGAGGTGGCGAGGCTGTCAGCTTGGGGGTTATCAATCGGATCTTTGACAGGATTCTCTTTCAGATACTGTAGATTTTGAATGATTTTAAGAAGCTCCCACAAACCCGATGCAAGCGTGCTAAGAGCACCAAGAAACATAAGTTTCGAGTGTCAGACAGATCAATGGTCAGGCACGTCTTGAGAGCCTCGCCAGACCAAGCAGTCCAAATGGAAAAAAAGAGCACACATGTTGCCAAGAATCGCAAAGCTCAATTGAAGTTCAAGCTTGGTTGGAGGCCATTGCTATTAGGTTGGAGGCCTTGGGTTGGAGGCCATCGCTATTAGTATTAGGTTGGAGGCCATCGATATTAGCTTGGAACTCAACTGAAGTTCAAGCTTGCTTGGTTGACGGAGTCTGCTGTTTGTCGCCTTGACCTCAGGTTGAAGCCTACATGATGCAGAGGGGGCCACCGAGAATTTGCTCCAGCACACTTTCCTGTGTCCTTTTTGTAGTAGTAAAGTAGTAGGTAGGCAGGGTAGGGTCAGGTAGGGTAGGTAGGGTAGGTAGGGTAGGGTCAGGTAGGGTAGGGTAGGGAGGGAGGTAGGTAGGTAGTAAGGTAGTAGCAAGTAGTAGCAGTAGTAGCAGTAGTAGCGGCAGCAGCAGCAGGAGTAGTAGCTCTGCTGAACTGAACAGGCACAGGAAGACCAAGGAGGAGCAAGAGGTGAAAGAAGAGCCCGAGGAAGAAGCAGTCAGGCCTTTCTGAAGCAAGTGCAACTCGATAACTACATGAACTTCAGGTTTCCAACACTTGAGCGATGGGAAACTTCAGTCTTCCTTTTCAAGAACAGCATCAATGAAGCTGCAAGTTTGTGTACACTCCATACTAGGAACCTCACCCTGTGAGGTTACTGAGACAAGGTCCCCATTCTAATAAACGCACAAATTACACAGTTACACTAAATGCAGCCTGCACTGCATGTTGTGAGAAGAGAATGCTGGGTGCATTCAACAGTGCAGCAGTTTCAAACGTGAATCGGATAGATAGTAGGAGCGAGCCAAACCTTTTGAACAAGCGGTCTTAAGGATTTTTTGTTGGAGAAGTTCAGGCCTCGAAAGCGCATGCGCTCGAAGAAGCCACTTGAAGAGGAGGTTCGGGTTGGATTGGCACGTTTAGTTCTTTTTCACTTGTTTTGAGACACAGCTGCTTGAATTTGGAGCTTCATAAGCTTCTGTAAGAGGCAGATAAGATGAGTCTTTTGACATCTGTCATACAGCTGGATTTGGGTTTCAAGGCAAATCTGCTGGAATTGAGGTTATATTCCTTTAGTGATTCCTACACAAGTCCTGGTGCATCCATCTTTCTACACATCCCAATCTCGACAGTGAGCCCTGGCTCGTGTGAATCAGGCCCCCGAGGTGCAAGACCCCGAGGCGCGCTGGCACAAGCGCGGGCGCGAGCGCTGGCGCATGCTTGCGCTCGTGGTTTCAACGGTTCGACCATTTCCTCAGGGTGGCGGATTCAGGAAGTAGCAGGAAAACAGGAGAGTATGTAAAGTCCAAAAGTGAGTTTTTCCACAAGCATGGGAGACCACACCCTGGCGAGCCCAAGCGATTGAGCTGCAGGTGTCTCAAGCAGAAGTGCCCACAGCGCCGGACGCTGCAGTGCCAGAGGCACCGGAGGTGCTCGAGGCGCCCAAGGCGCCTGAGGCGCCTGCGGCTCCTGAGGCGCCTGCGGCTCCTGGCTTGGTTCATGAGGTCGTGCCTGAGCCCAGCTTGGCAGTGCAGTCACCAGAAGCGGTGGAGAAGCTCACGGGCTGGGCAGAGTTGGTATGTGTCTTGGCACGCAAGACAAGTTGATTAGATCGAAGGTATGAAGATGTCTTAGTCACGATCACTTTTAACTTGGATGGTGGGAATTCAACTGACCTAGTGGCTGTTGGACTCGCGGTTGCCTTTGCAGTTTCAAAGCATTTGGTCGAATCAGGCATCCAAGCAGAGCCCAGCGACATGTGAGCGCTTTTTTCAAAGCTGGAATTAGCTCACTGGGAGGGTATCAAGTCGCCAGAATGTGGAGATTTGATTGTGAGCAATTCACGGATGTTAGAGAAACTCAGCCTTTAATGAGTGGCAAGGACCGACTCTTAGAGTTTCTTTCTTTGGCTGCAAGCGCAGCAAGTGCACTTGCCCGTGCAGGGGCTTTGAAGCAGACCTGTTTCAGCCAACAGGAGTGGTGCACAGGAAAATGAGATGGCACGGGATGTTCTTCCCTTTGCTCCGATCAAGCGTGTATAAGTGTATACCGGAATCCAGTGGTCCGTCGTCGTCCTCTCAAAACGACCGAAGAACATTTCTTGGTGCCTCAGTGAGTAGTCAGTCACAACCAAGCTGGCCCAATTCTGCTTCCGGAAGGTCTATCAGATTCAGAACAAGCCCTTGTCGAGCCTTGTCTCAAAAAAA